GGAGGCATTCGCAACACATGCCCAAGCAATCGCAGCTGTGACTTCTCAATCTGGAGAAGCAAAGGCTGTAATCGAAGGCTGTTCCAAAGTCAGAATTCCGGACCATGTCGAGACGCGTAAGGCCAGCGACTCGTCTAAGAAAGCCCATTTCAGCAGCTTGTACTAGGGTTCGAAGTCTTTCAGTGATGGTCCACGATTCATGACCGTAGGTAAGCATGGGGATAAAGATCGACTTGAATGTTGAGAGCTTAGTTTTCAGACTGAGCTCTGCTTTAGTAACAATGGATGGGGCTAGTTCACGCAGAACGCCACTGACTACTCCAATTCGCCGGTCGATCTCTTCCTCCAACTTTCTATCACTAGTAAATACAGTTCCAAGGTACTTGAACAAGCCCAGCTTAGCGAATCATTATTTTCATAGTTACGTAACAAAGTTTTAAGTTTATTAGAACTTTTATACACGCCTTAATATTATGTTTAGTGTTAAGTAACTCTGTAATTCTTCACTAAAAGTTTCATGGTAAGGAAGAACTAAGCAAGGTTTGTAATCCTTTTATTCGATATTCTCTCATACATGGATTTTTTACAAGGATCTAAGCATTACGAACTAGCGGCGACCTGCTAGTAATTTGCTACATTGACTATTTACGCATAATTCGACACGTATCCAAAAAATCTTTTTGGCAGGTTTTCCGCATTCTTTCTGTGAGCAACGTGTGGTCCAAACACGTCCTTATTCATTTCGGAATGAAAGCATTTGCAGAGATGACAGATACCATTGCTCGCACATTATTTAACCAATTAAGTACGGTTTATCGTTAAAAATGACAGCTGACATCATTAGTGCCACCAAATAATAAAGAAACTTTTTCTGCGGCTTACGATATTACTAACGAATTTAACTGGATATTTATTGACACAATTAAGGTTAATTTATTATATATACGACGTCTTTATGAAATTCATTATGTAAAATAGTTTTAAACTAGATATTCCCTCGGTATTTTAAGGGAATAGGTTTTTGAGGAGCACTTTATTTTCACCACCATCGGACAGATGGCAAACATCTTGTCAACATATTTCGAAAACCCTTTGAAACAGGTCTGAGTTCGTTTCTCCAGTCACGTTTTCGAAGTGTTGCAGAAAAATTTCAGTAAGCATGGGGAAAATTAGTTACCCATGGGTTTGTTTGACGAAACAGTAATCGAAAGTGAAATAATTCGCCTCTACCATGCGAATAGTTATCAATTTGTGAGAGAATTATGTGAGACGTTAGGTGGATTAGGTTGCTCAAGTGGATTATCTCCTTTAAGAAGTTTACGAATCACCTTAATAAAAACGTCGACAGGAATATTAATAAATATGTCCTTTACGTCGAAACTGACCAGTATATTTCCTTCAGGAGGTTCAATCTGTTTCATGTGCTTAATAACTTCGTGAGAGTAGCTAGTCTATGATCTGGTTCTTGGAGTCAAAGTTCCACGTATTTTTCCTGTTAATTTCAAGACCTTTGTGCAAAAGCAATTCATAGTAGAGACAGCAGCTCTGAAGGTAACATCAGGTGCACGCATTTTAGACAAGCAGTAAAAGCATGGTGTAACGTGATTAGAACTGAATTTGGCAAGTACTTCTATGAAGTGAAAAACGGGATCTAGGTGGTCATTTCGGACAGTACCTAGCGAAAATGCTCGAAGTTAATGGACAAAGAACAAGGTCGGGACAGTATCTAGGTGGAAACAGGTAGTACCGAGAAAGTCGTGACATTTAATAATATGTATGATATATTTGGTATAACCTAATTAATCCGTAACCACCGTCGGAAACATCGGAACTGATCAGTCATCGGACTGACCATTCAGTATGCGTCGTGCACAAATAAACCGTCTATATGGAGTTTTAAGTATGACTATTACCACACGAACTAAATACTCCAACTATGTCTATTTAAAATATTCATTTTATTAGTACTTTAAAACATAATTAAAGATTGGCTTGAACTAGCCGAATGAAGCAACGTCAGCTTTTGCACATCTACGGAAATAAATGCATTATTTGCTAATACCGCAGGGAATTCATTGATCTCCCATTATGAACACTAAATGTTCCTTCGTCTACAACTACATTTTACTAATTATATAAGATGTTAATTCCGGCATACGATATTATTGGCAAGGTCGACAGAAACCGCTTTAACGTTCAGATATCTGATCGCCTCTTCAAACATTTTCTAAGACTTTCATAGTAACTTCCAAAAGCTTTTAATTAGCCTCTGTGTGAAATTCTTCAAATGGCTTGTTACATATGCGCCGTACTAGAAACAGTTCTAAATCTTAAAATCGCAATCAGAATTGAGTTGGACTGCGGTTCGAACCCACTCTTTATTTACATATAATTGCATTCTGCAAAAGGGCCACCTTAATTTACTGTGAATGTTAGTGGAATGCTACTGCAGGAAGACAAGGTTAAGTATCCAACGGAGCATTCACACCAAACAGACATAAACTGGTCAAGTAAGCGCAGCAATTCGAGAGATAAATACACTTGCAATTATGAAAAACGGCCCAGCAGCACTGTGATGTGTCGATCTCCACCTACTAGCTTATCCACCTATGAGCATAAGTGATGAAGACGGATCGAGATAATGCGATCTCAGCCACAAACAGCAGAAATAACTTTCTGCAAGCTCAACAAGGTTGGAAACCAGGCAGTCTGATAGTTTAGCTTTTGAGTTTTCCTTCTCGTGATTGATTGATTACAATCACCATGGTGTGAAACACAAATCATAAAGATATCAAATAAAAGACTCGTAGAATAAAATCTCTTTCCAAAGCCACATTGCTGGCGGCGAAGAGACACACCGAAGACGAAAAAGCACGAGTAAACTAAAAACACAGGACTGTGTCTGTGTCATGCCCTGGAATAAATTTCGCAGAGCTCATCTGGATGTCGCAGAAATAGGACTATTGCAGAAACTGCATGAAGGTGGTTTCCCGGCACAATGTGAAAAAATGATGAACTCTAAAAATTAATCAGTGAGTCAACGAACGACGAAAGGAAAGACAAGTAAATGAATGGGCGACTCGCTACTGATGATATTTCGTACCTTTCCAAATATGACAAGTTTTTTTCAACTACTGCAAGACGAAATCAAACGTACCATGACTTCGTTCGATGGTTTACCCATTGTTGGCAAAATGTACACATCAGTGCTTGAAAACTGACCACGATCAGCCGTTCGAATGTTCTCGCCAAATCCCCCACCTTGTTGCAACACCTTATCGCCGGTGGTGCCTTCGTCGAACTCGATCAGGTCGCCTTGTTTGATGTGAAGCATTTTGCGTTCTAAAGCAAGTTACATATAAGAGCGCAGACTAAAGGCTACCTGCGTGTGATGGTCACAAACCTGCCGAATGCTGAACATCCCTTACGCAAATGCCGTAGCGACTTCGGCTGATCAACCCGTCCAAGAAGTAAGAGATTACATGGCGTATGTCCTTGGCACTATGAGAGTGAAACGTATACTCGGCTCCACTGACAGTTCGTATGGTGAAAGTATCCACGCCGAGCCTAAAATGAATTAATCATCAGCGACTTATCCATACGCTTGTTCATGACCTGGAAGTCAAAATAGGCATAACACAAAACAAACCAAAACAGTCATAGTAAAACGAACAATGAAGACTAACGTCCAAATTTACTATTAGTACGTTA